GGTGGACACATGCTCTGGAATAATTCATGCCACCCCACTGGCAGGGGAAAAGGTAACTCATGTAAAAATGCATTGCTTAGAGGCCTGGGCAGCTTGGGGAAAGCCAAGTCGTTTAAAAACCGACAATGGCCCAGCATATGCCTCACAGGGCTTTAAAGCCTTTTGCAAGCAATTACAAGTTGAACATACCACTGGCCTACCATACAATCCTCAAAGCCAGGGTATCGTAGAAAGAGCAAATAGAAATTTAAAGGAAATTTTGCGAAAGCAGAAAGTGGGAATAGCTATAGCAGCTTCCCCCAGAGAAAGGATTTCTCTTGCACTCTTTACACTTAATTTTTTAATTCAAAATATTGCTGGAAAAACAGCAGCAGACAGGCATGCCCTGTTTGAAAGCTCTACAGAGCGAGATTTGGTCATGTGGAAGGATGTATTGATTAATAAATGGTGTGGACCGGATCAGGTAATTACCAGATCCAGGGGAGCAATTTGCATTTTCCCTCAGAATCGTGAAGATCCAATATGGGTGCCAACGAGACTGACAAGAGAAATAAAGAAGAAAGATGATCCAGTGGATGCTGAGTGTCCTGCTGTGGAAGATTCGTGCGGAGGCAGCAGAGATGACACCCTGGGCGGTGTCAAGAGCAACTGTTTCACGTTATCACCTTGAGCAGCACCCTGTGCAACCTCTTATCTCTTAACAATTTTCTGACTGACTCTATTCTGCCTTTCTCCCTCCTTGGGGATGGGTGGGAGCAGAGATATCCTTGGCATGCTGTGTCTAGGTGGAAGTGCTGTATGTCTTTGATTGGTGTGCTACCTGCTAGCCCAAGTGAGGAGGGACAAGGTCTTTGTGGCACAAGCCTTGGCAGCCTTGGAATGTGTATCCTCACCCCAGGTTTGGCTCTCAGCCTCAAAAGAGCTCATAGGCAATTAGCCATGCATAGCCTTTGCACCCTCTAGGGACCAGACAGTCCCATGGCACAGAGGAAGGTATGCATAGGCGGAGGGTGTGCAGACACAGCCCTAGCACTCCCAGGGAAGTAGTTGTCCCATTGCACGGGAAGGGTGTGTCTTGCTTTTCTTTTCTTTAATCAGTCCACACATCATGAGGTGGGGACCAGATTGGAAAATAGTTTTGCCTTATTGCTCTTAAAGACAATAAAAGGAGGAGCTGTAGGGAGCCGCCTGGATGTTGCCTTGGCCAGATAGTGCCAGCAGTCCTTCAGCCTGGAGGTATACATATCCTTTGATGTTGCCGCCTTGGGCGGGTATGCTGGAGCCTTGTTTTGCATCTCAAGAGACTCGGTCTCCTGACCTGTCCCGTGGCCTTGGGTCCTAGTAGAATGGCATCAACCAATCAGCATTCAAGCCTCTCACCCTAGAAAAGCGGCTGTCTTTGGATTTTTCGCTCTCTCTCGTCATCCCTGTTCCCCATTCCCCCTTTCAATCAAGGAGCTCTAATAAATTGTGATTGAGAAGGATTCTTGATTTTGTGACCGTCCATCCCTGCTGGTCAGGAAGCGCGTCACAACTGAGCATTGCACAATTTGAAATAAGATAAAATTTTAAAAGTAATGTCTTCAAAAACTGGGCAAACGTTGACTTCGTTTGGAAGAAAGCTAAATTCATGTAAATGAAAATAAACATTAACAAGCTTTCTGGTACCTGCCCAACCATGGCTGCAGTCTGCCTGCCACACAGAAAGTCTACAATAATGATTTTTATCATCTTCTTATCTACCACTAAACCAAAGAAGATTTAGAAGATAAAGGTAATGCTGACGCTGTGTAGCAGAATAGTCTGTGGCAACTGCTTTTAGTTGGAGCATTGGCAGATTTTCTTTTACTAGTGAATTATCCTGTTGATACATGAAAATCAAATCATGCATTCAGACAGTGAATACTACATGGGAAGATCTTCATGACTTGGTGATATATACATAACAGGACAACGAACCATTGTTGAGGCACCAGAATCAACCAGACTTGCCCAGAGAGAGTCATGGTTTGTATCTGGTGTTACTCAATTCAGGATTCTATCCAATGCAGAATGCTCATTTTCTTCGTGAGTTTATGTTGGAGAAACCAGAATATTGCTGTGATAACATTTTGCAACTAAAAATGACCATTTAGGAAATGCATATTTGTGGTCCATCTGCTTTCATTGAGGGAGCTGTAAATGTAGAAGGAAATAAATTACTTCCCATTAATCTGTTCCTAAGAGTGCATTTCTTTTAAAATTCTTGGAAGTGTTTGTCATACTTAATACTGTACTAATTCACACTAACGACCTGAGAATCTCTGGGAGATAACTTAATTGTGTAATGAGTAGTGATGAACATTAAAAAAGCAGCATTATAAAATCAGGAATATGGATGCAGATATGTACTTGCTTTATTTATTTTGACAAGGGCAGTTTACTTTCTGTAACTCATAATAAAGTACTTCTGTAAATGTACTAAAGTTGTTTTATTAAAGTAATAAAATCTGAATGGGAGGCCTCACTAAGGCCCACTACCATTATATAGTTACCAAACGAGTTAAAGATGCCAGGTTACTGTATTTTTTATTTTCTTTATAAAATTGTGTTTAGAATTTTGCAACATTTGGGGGAACATAAAGAAATTGATGCCTTACTATTCTGCTTGTATTTAGAATGAAAACTTTTTCCTGATTTCTCTGCACAGTTGACCAGAACTTTTAACTCATAAAACTAATACCATACACAGATCCCAGCTAACTCCTGTGCTGTGAATACACACTTGAACTTCACTAGCAACCATTTTGGAAGCTCAAAACTAGATCAGAAGAAAAACTGGAGTCTATGGATGGACTCATGAGACACAGCTCTACTCTGGACACCAAGTAGACTGAGCTTGTTTCAGGTGTTTTGCTTACTCCTGTCATTTTAGTTCTAATGCAATCAAAATATTCTCAAAGTCAAGGCAATAGTGGACATGATGGTACATGCTTTAAAAATATTAGCATTTGAGAGGCGGAAGCAGACTGATGTCCCTGACTTAAATACCAGCTGGATTAACTAATAGCAAGTTTGAGGCCCGCCAAGGCTACTTTTTGAGATCTTGTCCCTCCCAAAACCAAAACAAACAAACAAACAAACAAAATCAACAAAAGTCAAAGTCAGGGCACATACCTCTTACATTCTCTGAGTTATTACACAGAGAAAAGCTTAAGATTTGCTGTTGGCTATAAAAATGACATTGTTCAATGATAATGTCAGCAAAACCATCATAAATCACAAAGCAACCCATATTTTCCCATTATAAATTTTCCTACTTCTGTAAATTTGGATGTAAGATTTAGCTAGTGAATCAAATGAGAAGAAAAGCAAAAATATTCATAGCACTTGGGAAGAAAATACAGTAAATCCACGCTTGTGTTTTAGCAAAGTAGCAGTACATGAATGAAATTTTGGTAAAGCCCATCACCACTTGTTTGACTCAATTCCACTCACCTTGTCATGTGTCCTTAATTCTGGATGATCTTCAGCTCTTTTTGTTAACAATTTTGTATGTGCAGCTATATATAGAATATATATATATATATATATATATATATATATATATATATATATTTGGTCTATTTCTATAATTCTGCCTTAATTAAAATCCCAAATTCTCTCCTTACATTTTCCATTGAATAGAAGCACAGTATGTACAAATAGGCCTACTGTCAGCTATTCAAAACTTTCAATAATCCTTCAGTCATCAAAATAAAGATAGCAAGCATATAATATATTTTAAAGGTGGTTATTCTCTTTTTCATTGCTTTTTAATGTCATGATATATAATGAAATTATTGGAATAGATTAATATATTATATGTTTTTTGTTTGTTTTTGCTGCATACTAAATTTTATTTAAACTTTTTTGCTAAGTGTATTATATAATAAACAGCTAGAGAAATGTATAATGTCAATTTATAGCAAAAAAGAATAGAGTTTAATGATCTGATGTAGTCTTCCTCCAAGTGCCCTCTCTTTGTCCCTCTGTTATCTGGACTGTTATGGTTCATTGTGTATTATACAATGTTACACTGTGTATTATATACTGTGTAATTTAAGAGTGGAATTATATTGATAATTTGCAACCTTTTTATCTATTTAGATAAATAGATAATTTATCTATTTATCTAAATAAGCTTTTAGAAAGCTTTATCTAAGTAAGCTTTTAGAAAGAAAATGATATTAGGATGGCAAAAATCTCTATCAGAACAAACTCAGATCAGAGTCAACTCCAGGATATAAGTGATGTGACCTGAAATCTTTCACTGAATGGTTAGATTTTTGTAGTTCACAAGCTAAGACTTTTCTGAAAATGCCCCCCTTCTGATTCTGACTCTCCTCATGCTTAATTTCCAACCCCTTGTAATAGAAGGTTGTACAACAGGATGTTTGGATTCAACTGTGTTTCACTATTTACTAGCTGTATAATGTTGACATATTAATTAACCATTTTAGGCCTTAATGTCCACCTAGATTGATTTAAATTTTGAGTTGTATTTTATCTTGGAAACATGGTGAGTTTATATATCAGGTAATGAAAGTTTCATTTCAGATGCTATACCTTTAAATGTACAAAAATGTCAATAATTGTATAAACTCTATGGACTGACAAAAAAGGCCTGCACATTTAATCCTCAAGGTCAAGTTTCTATTAAAGTCAGATAATTCTCTAGATACAAGTTGTAGAAATTTGGACTAGCTTTTGTAACCACCCTTGTAAAGCTTGTTGATTAATTCAGAAAACGGCAGGGTGGAGGAGAGAATACAGAGAGGAATAACTACTGCTGAATACATTAGAGAAACCTACATGGAGAGATACTAGAAGCAGCTTAGTGTGTGTGTGTGTGTGTGTGTGTGTGTGTGTGTGTGTGTAGCTTAAATGGAGTTACCCTATGATGGACAGTGGGTGATCTTTCCTAAATGCCCTAGACTATCAAATACAAAAGTACAAAGCCCAGGGCCAGACTGAGTTACCTCTTTTGGATTGTTTGTTGGTGTGTTCTACGGTCATTCTCATTCCCCAAAATTCCAAGCTATAGGTGTTGCTCGTGGTTACCTTCTAGAACTTGATTGTAAACTTAGTACTGAAGATACCACATACTTGAAGACTAACTGTCAGGAATGCGATCACAGGCATAAGAAAAGTAACCAAAGCCGAAAACTGATTTTGAGAGGTAGATAAATGATCTTTATGCTAAGATAAACCTGACCCCTTTGGATCTGGTTTGAAAGATGAATATTTGGGTGTTTGAAGGATGGATGTCTGAGTGAGAATAAAGTGCTAGAAATTAACTTGATAGTTATCAACATGAGTAGACTTGTGAATGGAGAATTTAAAACAGCTGTTCTAGGAAAACTTGGTGAGCATTGATGAAATACAAGAAAAAATTTTAATACTCTAAAAGAAAAATGTAACATAGTTTGAAGCAGTGTAAAAGTCTTATAGTTGAAAAAATATGCTAAATAAAATGAAGACTCTCTCTACTCTTATACACTTAACTACTGTCTTAGTTAAGAATTTTTATTGCTGTAAAGAGAATCTGTGACCATGGCAACTCTTATTAAGAAAGCATTTAATTATTGGTTGAAACTTATTCACAGTTTCAGAGGTTCAGTCTATTATTATCATGGTGGGGAGCATGGTGGCATGTAGGCAGACCTGGTGCTGGAGCTGAGTGTGATACATCTTGCAGGTAAGAGGAAGCTGACTGACTGTCACACTTAGGGAAGCTTGAGCAAAAAAGACCTCAAAGACTGTCCTCACAAGTGACACACTTCCTCCAACAAGGTCATATCTCCTAATAGTGCCAATCCCTTTGCGGGTATTTTCATTCAAACCACCACATTAGGTCATATTTATAAAGAAATTTATCAATTTATTTTATGTTTTCCAGTTTGGTGGAGTACAGAGTTTTAAAGTATGTTCTTTTGATTTCTTGAATTTCCTTGTTATATGCTATGATATCTCTTTTCATCTCTGATTTTATTACTTTGGATCTATTCCTCTTGATATTTTAGTAATTTGTTAAGGGTTTATCAATCTTAATAGCTTTCACAAAGATTCAATTCTTTCATTCTTTTATTATTTGTAATGTTTTTGTTTGGTTGTTTTTATTTTATTGATTTCAACCTCAAGGTTGTATGTTTGTATATTTCTTGCCATCTACTTCTTTTGTGTTCATTTTCTTTCTTTCTTTCTTTCTTTCTTTCTTTCTTTCTTTCTTTCTGTTCTCTTTCTTTCTGAATGCTGGGAGGAAGAAGGTGAAGTCAGAGAGAAGCCATGGAGCCTCCAGAGACAGATGCCAGTTGGAATCTTGCTGGTAAGCCACCGCTACATGATGATACACAGATTAATAGAAATTGGTTAAATTAATATGTAAGAGTTAACCAATAAGAAGCTAGAGTTAATGGATCAAACAGTGATTTAATTAATACAGTTTCTGTATGATTATTTCAGGAATAGTGGCCAGGGACAAACATGCAGCCTCCTTACAACAAATTGGTGCCAACGTGGTTGACTAAAATCCACTAAAAACCTAAAAGGGCTTGAAAAAAATTTTAGACACAAAAGAACAGAGTTAAGAATAGTTTGGTAGCAGCATTTCTTTGGGTGTGCTCCATTTGCTAGAAGCAAGAAGAGGCACGGCTCTTTTAATAGAGATATTCCTGATTCAGTGGTACTGGTTGGGGGGGGGGGAGTTACACCATTTTTAAATGCTGGTTTTTGGGGCTGTAATGCCAGCATGACCTCTGGTTCTTCCAGGAGACTGAGCATTTGAATGGGGTTTGTGTGCAATATGCTATGGCTTGCTTGGTAACAACATAGACTCACTGTGCCCACTCATGGGGTGGTGTGCATGGCTTTCAGAAGCAGTGAGTAGTGTCACCATCCTGGACTGGGTGGGGGAAATCAGGAATTGCCATATTTCCCTTAGCAATGGAGCAGCTTAAATTTTAAGAAGCTTTTAGAATTTTAAGAAGTGCTCCTGGACAGTAAAGACTTACAGATTCACAATCTAAATGGGTCACATTGTTGGATAAATGTATGTATGTAGGCTTAGAATAGAGAAGACAAAGAATATAGGCAGTTATAAAAATATGTAAATGGTTTTAAAAAAGGTAAAGTCTTTAAAAAGACAGAGTACAGACAGTCATAGATTAAAAGGTGTAAAGAAAAAATAAGCCACATAAAGATGGAAAATTCACAGAGTCTGGATTGTGCATATTATTGTGTTTTCTTTGAATTATTTGACTGTGTAGGAGCTAAGTACAGAGAGACATTTCATTGTATGGGCTGCTAAACTAAACCAAGATTTATGTTTTAAAGGTATCTTGATTTCAAAATTTGAGTCTAAGGATATGTTACTTTGAAAAAGAGGTTCTTCTTTTGTTTCCACAGAAGATGAGAACCTATAGATTAATTCCAGGCTAATGTAGTTTTATGGAACAAGACCCCCTGAAAGGTTGTCTTGAACACCCCTCAAAGAATTACTTCACCCAACTGCTGACTGAGATGAACCTAGCACACAGGATACACCATGAAATACCTGATTAACAGCACCCCCAATCAGTAGGAAGCAGTTTAGAAAAGAAATATGCCCATATTTCCAAATATTGTTTATAAGTGTTTGTTTACATCTAAAGGGGGGTATGCTATAGAGATGGATACTTTGCATTGGCATGGATCTTGGTCTATTGATACAAATTTAAGGTCAATTTTGCTATACGCATATTTTTACACTTGATTAAGGTATTGTGTTTGTACAGCTCATTTAAAAATGTAACGTATTATTAAGAAATATAGGTTAATAGATAATCATTTATAGTAGTAAAGCTTGTAGTCATGTTTTTTAGGTTTTCTAGATATATAGATATACATTTCAATTAGGTATTCTTCAAATCTTTCAGAGACCTTCAGAATATGGCATTTAAAATGTTTTAAGAATTTAGTATTTTCCATGACAATGAGATACATCTGCTCCTGGCAGCACCAATTACTTCAATAGGAAGATGGGCATCAAAGAGGCTCCTTATGGAGTTGGTTAGCCATTTGTACAAGAAACTGCTCTTGCCTGAACTCCTTGATAAACTTGACATGCAGAACCTATAGAGAAATGACTGATGAACTTACCGAAAGGTGAGATGGCTCTTTGCAGTTCCTGCCAGACATTCTGCAGGACACAGACAAAAGTAACAGACAAACTGCCAATATAGGCAGAACTGTCTTTGAAATTTCCTTCATCATGGGAATGTCTGCCAGATGCTATGGGCCTGTAGTCTGAAGATGGGTGCCCCACCATTGCAAAAGAACTTTGGGTGACTGTCCAGACAGCGAGATGTCTCTGTCAATTCTAGAGTTTTGGAAGTTGCTTGTTCTTCCTGTTTACTTAGGTAATATTATATCCTTCTGGAGCCTTTGATGGATTTGAAGAATTTATAGTTATAGTTTTTCTTAGTTATGATGAAAGATAAATATAATTATTGTAACTGTAATTCTTGATTAATATCTGTTTTTTATATGTAATTTTACTACGTGAAAGTTAAAGACTACCTTTTTATTTAAACAGGAAAGGGGAAATGGTGTGGGAGGTCCTTTTGTCTATGTGTTGCTTTTATTGGTTAATGAATAAAGAAACTGGCTTGTCCTGATAGGGTAGAGCAGAGCTAAGTGAGGAAAACTAAACTGAATGCTGTGAAGAAGAAGCCAGAGTCAGAAAGAAGCCATGGAGCCACCGGTGACAGAAGCCAGTTGGAATCTTGCTGGTAAGCCAAAGCCACATGGTGGGACACAGTTTAATAGAAATGGGTTAAATTAATATGTAAGAGCTAGCCAATAAGAAGCTAGAGCTAATGGGCCAAGCAGTGATTTAATTAATACAGTTTCTGTGTGATTATTTCAGGGATAAGTGGCTGGGGACAAACAAGTGGCCTCCTTGCAACATTAGCATCTCCCTTTTCAATATCCTTTGTTATATTTTCCCATTTCTGGAACGGTTCTAGTTCTATTATCTTGCAAACAGCTACCTTTTTCTACTTCCTTCTTTACCATATGTTATTCAGTTTCACCCAGGTCATCTAGAGCAGAAGTATCTGATGCTAGATCCTATATAATGTGGCTTTACATGTGTATTTTTTCATTTATTTGCCTCCTTTACCACTTTTTTCTTATAAACTAAGGCATCAATATTTTAATTTCTATTGAAGCTTCTTTGCTGTCTATAGAGCTAATGTTTATATTCATTCATTTTTCCTTATATATTGTGTATATTCTTATAATTCAATTCCTATTTTATGATATTGTAAATCATTTTTTAAAAATTGAAATAATGAATTCTTTTCAAACACTGGCACATTAATATAGTCTAGTATATACCCAGATACTCAATAAATTGTTTGCTATTTATAGAAGCTTTTTTTTCTTGCTGTTCTAGAGTAATAAAATGTTGACATCCTTGGAAAATATTGTAATAATATGTAAATTCAGGTCACAGCCTCAAAATCTTTGTGTTTCCTTCTTTATTCATTCTTGCAACTATAATTATTTAAAAAATGCACTTAAATATTTTACTGGAATATAGCAATTTCACAGAATGAACATAATTCAGTTAAAGAACAAAGTATGATTTAACAACAAACTATTCGGAGCTATTTATTAGGAAGAAGCTGCTTAATAAACCTCATATATACTAGAATGGGACTATCATGAAAACAGATATTTTAAAATATTTTTAAATAATTAAGATATTCAAATTATAAAATGGAAATTTGCTACAGTAATTGTGATAAGAATTTGAATTTTTGTGGACAAGCAAATTAAAAATGATCATATTTATTTTGTTAAAAATGAATTTAACAGCTGGAAATACTTTCATGATTCTATTATCTATTTATCATTATCTTATCTGTCCATCTCTATGTCTCCTTGTTTATCTAACTGTCTGTCTGTTTGTATAGATATCTTCTTCATCATCATCTTTTCATCCTTAATTCCCTCTCTCTTTCTTAAATATGTTAAG